AACAGTGTAAGAGGGTTGACTTTTCTCCACGTGCTCTCCAACATTTGTTGTTTCTTGCCTTGTCAATTTTGACCATTCTGACTGGTGTAAGGTGGTATCTCAATGTGCTTTTCATTTGAATTGTCCTGATGGCTAATGATGTTGAACATTTTGTCGTGCGTCTGTTAGCCATTTGTATGTCTTCTCTGGAGAAGTGTCTGTTCATGTCTTCTGCCCATTTTCTGATTTGGTTATTTGTTTTTTTGGGTTTGAGTTTGAGAAGTTCTTTATAGATCTTGCATATCAGCCCTTTATCTGTACTGTCCTTTGCAAATATCTTCTCCCATTCTGTGGGTTGCCTCTTAGTTTTGTTGACCATTTCCTTTGCTGTGTGGAAGCTTTTGATCTTGATGAAGTCCCAAAAGTTCATTTTTGTTTTTTTTTCCCCTTGCCTTTGGAGACGCGTTTTGGAAGAAGTTGCTGTGGCCCGATGTCGAAGAGGTTACTGCCTATGCTCTCCTCTAGGATTTTGATGGATTCCTGTCTCACATTGAGGTCTTTCATCCATTTTGAGTTTATCTTTGTGTTTGGTGTAAGAGAATGGTTGAGTTACACTCTTGGTGGGAAAGCAAGCTGGCATAGCCACTTTGGAAAACACTATGGAGGTTCCTCAAAAAGCTAAAAATAGAGCTACCCTATGATCCAGAAATTGCACTACTGGGTATTTACCCCAAAGATACAGATGTAGTGAAAAGAAGGGTCACATGCACCCCAATGTTCCTGGGAGCGATGTCCACAATAGTCAAATTCTGGAAGGAGCTGAGATGCCCTTCAACAGATGAGTGGATAAAGATGTGGTTCATACACACAAAGGATTATTACTCAGCCATCAGAAATGATGAATATTGCATCGACATGGATGGAGCTGGAGGGGATTATGCTAAGTGAAATCAGTCCAGCAGAGAAACACAATTGTTATATGGTTTCACTTATTTGTGGAACATAAGGACTAGCACGGAGGACATTAGGAGAAGGAAGGGAAAACTGAAGGGAAGGAGAATCAGAGGGGCAGATGAACCATGAGAAACTATGGACTCCGGGAAACAAACCGAAGGTTTCAGAGGGAAGGGGGGCATGAGGGACATGGGTTAGGCTGGTGACGGGTATTAAGGTGGGCATGTGTTGAAATGAGCACTGGTGTTATATGCAAATAATGAATCATGGAACACTACATCAAAAACTAACATTAAAAAAAGTCATGAAAACAATTCATTCCATTAAGAGAGTAATGGAGAAACAATATGATTATTTCCAGATATGTAGCCCAAATGCTTGATAAACTTCAACATAACTTAATGACAAAAAATTCTTAGCCATGAAGAATATTAGGGAATTTCCTTTCCCTGAAAATGGGGATCTACGAAAAGCCTATAGCAAATACTACATTAATGGTGAAATATTTCAAACTTTCCCTTTGAGATGGGGAACCAGAGCAGGATACCCAGCAATATCAATGTTGTATCCCCAACAACATCAAATATGTTAGTGGTGCTCCTAGACAGTATATGAAAGAAATAGGGAGGGAGTGGAAGGAAGGGAGGCAGAGAGAGGACGAGGGAGGGAAGGTAGAAGAGTTTGTTGGTTGGTTACTTCTAAGTGCATTGAAGACTTTAACGGAAAGAAAGTGCTTTAAATAACTGCTCAGGGTCTGCCTCTGAACGCTTCTATTATCTGCCCAAAAAGAAACTTGCAGTGTTTTAGCTACAGAGCCCAGATTTCTGAAGAACAAATCCAACATCTAATCCTGTGACTGGATTCCAAGGTAAACTGACTTCACAACTTAACAGCCTCTCTTATGTTAAAGTCTGAGCATTGATTAGGAAAAGGAGGACTCTAAAAATTGAGATGGAGAGGGGTGCCTGCGTGGCTTAGTCCTTAAATGTCTGCCTTCGGCTCAGGTTAGAATTCCAGGGTCCTGTTTATATTAAAAAAAAAAAAAAAAAAAAAAAAAAGAATTCCAGGGTCCTGGGATGGAGCCCTGTGTGGGGCTGTTTGCTGGGCAGGGAGCCTGCTTTTCCCTCTCCCACTCCCCTTGTGTTCCCTCTCTTGCTGTCCCTCTCTCTGTCAAAAAAGAAATAAAATCTTAAAAAAAAAATTGAGATGGAGATACATGGGTAGAATCTAAGGATGCTGAATACCTTGTACCTGGAAATTCTGCTGAGCCTCCTTTGCTAGAAGCAGCAGCCCCTCCTCCCCTGTGTGAGGAGGTAAGCCTCCCTTTGCTCAAAGAACCTGTAAATGACCTGTCCTGAGTAGCTGCCCTGGTAGGGTTGCCAGAAGAACACAGATGTCCAGTTAGATCTGAATTTCAGAAAAACAACGAAAGCTAGTTCTAAATATAAGTCTATCCCAAATACTGCAAGGCACATATTTAGAATACAAAAATATGTGTTGCTGTGCTGAAATTCAAGTTTAACTGTCTATCTTGTCTTTTTGTTTACTAAATCTGGCAACTCCAATTTCAGGGACTGCTGATCTTCCTCAGGACCTACCTTTAATACTTCACCATAATTGTGGTTCTTTAACCTGATTTAAGTCCTGAAAGACCTGGATGTGGAGCTGGGGTGGTGGTTGGGGGGGAAAGAGGGGGGCACCAATTAGGACCGGCAAGAAGGTATCCCCAAAAAGAAAAAGAATTAAGACTGTGAATTCACTGTGTTAGTTAGAGGTTGACCTACATTAAATGAAGCTGAAATACAGGACCTTTCTTAGTGTAGTCCTGAGGAAGACATCCTATGACTTATGGATTTAGCAATGCCAGAGTGGGCTTAGTGAGCCCTGTTCGTCCACCCTTAACTATGTGCCTGGGGGGTGGGGTGTTCCAAGAGACACCTGTTATCCTTTCACCCAAGGCTTTGAGAAATACATTCCTGGGGAATTTTCCGTATTCTTGATAGACTCTCTGATGGCTATTCTCTGTAGGCTGGGAATGACCTTGGTGACATTGGGAGCTTTGTTATTGATCTGATTTCCTGAATTCAGTGGAGACCAAAGGACCTCAGGCTGGCAGGAGCCAAGTGGCAGCACTTAATAGCCAGAGGCAACTGAAACAGAGATCAGAATGACTTGCCTGCAGAGATCTTTGTCCCTGGCTAATTGTTGTGGATCCTCTAAAACTGAAATAGATGAAGAGTGCAGTTAAGTATTATTTGATGGCTACAAGCAGAAAAAATCTACCTCTGATTGAATCACTGAAAAAAAAAAAAAAGTAATGGTTATTCATCAACCATTTCCCAGACTTGGGAGCCTATGGACAGACTCAAAGCAGCACTAATGAATAGAAGATAGATTTTTCTCCTTCTTCTTCTTCTTCTTCTTCATCTCTTCTTCTTCTTCTCCTTCTCCTTCTCCTTCTCCTTCTCCTTCTTCTTCTTCTTCTTCTTCTTCTTCTTCTTTCGTCTTCTTCTTCTTCTTCTTCTTTTTTCCTTTTTCCTTTTTTAAAAATTTTTTTTTTATTATCATCTTGAGAAAGCATGCTGCTACATGACCAGAACGTATACCGAAGTTTCGTCCCACATTCACCAAAGAGGCTTGAAGCCATTCAGGAAAGATTAGTATAAGAAAGGTTAAAGAGGGGCACCTGGGTGGCTCAGCTATTAAGTGGCTGGCTGCCTTCAGCTCAGATCATGATCCCAGAGTCCTGGGATCGAGCCCCGCATCAGGCTCCCTGCTTGGAGGGAAGCCTGCTTCTCCCTCTCCCACCCCGCTGCTTGTGTTCCCTCTCTCGCTGTGTCTCTCTCTGTCAAATAAATAAATAAATCTCAAAAAAAAAAGGTTAAAGAATTAGAAATAAAGATGAAAATCTAGGAATAGATATAGGTGTATTACCTTTAAATAAAGAGATCTAGCCAGAGTACTGTTTTGTCATCTGATTTTTTTTCACATAAAAGCATATAATTTACATGTTTATATATCATTAATTGTTTCTCCATGACATTGTGTTTCTTTGTTCTTTTGTTTTTCTTATTTTTAGCTGAATAACATTCCAGTGTATGGATGTAGTTCCTCTTCTTCCTCTTCTCCTCCTGTCCCTCCCCACTCCTCCTCCTCTTCCTCCTTCTACTCCTCCTCCTTTCTTCTGCTTCTTCTTCCTCTTCTTCTCCTTCTCCTCCTTCTTCTCCTTCTCCTCCTCTCTTCCTCCCTCCCCCTCCTTTGTCTTCTTCATCTTCTTCCTCCTCTAGCTCCTCCTCTTCTTTTGTAAGTAGGCTCCAAGCAAAGTGTGGAGTCCAGGATAGGGCTCAAACTCACAACTTTGAGCTCAAGACCTCAGCTGAGACCAAGAGTCAGACATCTAACAGACTGAGTCACCCAAGTGCCCCTGGATGTATCTCTTCTAATTCTGCGGGGCTCAATTCATGTTTCTTAAGGAATTCTCGATAGTCATTTTTAACAAGACTCTTTCCTTCCTGTACTTTCCAATCCATAGCTATTTAGGTTACCTTAACATTTTTGCTATTATAATGAATGAAGCAATGAGAAGGGTATAGTGAATTCCTAGGAAAAGTCTGTATTTATCTCCCAAGTATAAATTCTAAGAAGTGGGTCAAAGTCTATGTCCATTTTGAGGCTTATGGCACATGGTGCCTCTCAAGAGGTTTTGTGGACCTCCACGTATGTGCGAGTGTTGATTGATCCACAGCTTCACCAGCCTTGGAGAGCATCGCTTTAGAAAAATCTTGACCAATTTGCCAAGCAGAATGACTGTTACACTGGGGGTGGCACAATCAACGTCATTCTGAATTAATTGAAGGAAAAGTAAGGTTTGAAGGCTTTTACGCATTAAGTCCCCAGATTCAGAAAAGGCACGACATAAGGCAAAAACATAAGGAAACAGTTGCCAGAAACCACATAGGTTTTGAGGGATAGAATGCACAAAAGGAATCCACTTAAGATTTGTATAACTTCAGGGGGAAACTTAGAATCTACTGGAAAAGGTAAGAACAAGGACTATTTCAACTCACTCTCACAAATAGGTGGGTCGTCATCCCAGGTGACAGTCTTGCCTGAGATGATGCATGCAATAGAGGTCTTACCAATAAGTCGGTATCTAGAGGGAAAGAAGAATGAATGTTATTTTCCCACTGAAGTGGCTACTTACAAGAGAGTGTATCCCGGAGAATTCAGAAGGACAATTTCCATTTGTCATAGTGTATGACATGGTATATACTTTGTATGTGTATATATATGTACATATATGTATACATATACTACGTATACATATTACATGACATAGTATATATATATATCACAATTTGTGACAGTATACTACCACTTTCCCAAATTTTAATCTTTATTCGGATGTCTAAGCTAAATGGGTCCTCTGCTCTTAATTACACTGAGCTACCTTTTAATTTAAGCCTAACATGTTTAAGATTCTTCAAACTAGAACCAAAGGAAATCCAAGCAGAACAAAACAAGGTGAACACGGATTTCCTATGTAAAACGTTAAAGGCAGCAATTCTCACTTAGTATGCCACAAACTGTTCAAAGTGTGCCATAAGACTTGGAAAATGTAAATTTCTCCCATGGATAATGTCTTGCAAAACTGTAGTAAAATATTAAAACCAGGATTCTGACATAGGTATGATCGCCAATTTTATTCGGACTTCCTCAGTTTTGTTTGTACTAATTTGTGGGTATGTGAGTGTGCTTACAAGTATTCAGTTTTTATACAGACTATATTTAAGAGCTGTTCTGGGTTCATGGTAATATTGGCCAGAGGATACAGGGGATTTCCCATATACTCCCTTTCCCTACACATGCATTCCTTCCCACATTATCCACATCCCCCACCAGACTGGTATAGTGGCTCGCAACTATGAACCTACATTGACACATCATTATCCCCTGTAGTCCATGGTTTACAGCAGGGTTCAGTCTTGGCGTTGTATAGTCTGTGGGTCTAGACAAACACATGTTGACATGGATGCACCCTAACAGAATGACACAGAGTAGTTTCACTGCCCTAAACATCTTCGGAGATCTGCCTATTCGTCTCTCCCTCCTCCCACCCCTTGGCTACTACGGATCTTTTTACTCCATATTTTCTTTTGTAGAATGCCACTTCCCTGGAATTATACAGTATTGAGCCTGTTCAGACTGGATTCTTTCACCTAGTAAAATGCAATTAAGTTTCCTCCCGGCTTTCCATGGCTTGATAGCTCATTTATGTTATCCAGGGAGGGTTAACCAGTTTCTGTTCCTATCAGCAATGAACGAGTAATCCAGTTCCTCTACAACCACGCTAGCATCTGCTGTTTTCACTAGTTTGTATTTTTGCCACTCAGATATATGTGTCATATTGTTTCACTGTTGTTTTCATCTGTATTTTCCTAAGGGCTAATGAAGCTGAATATCTTTTCCTGTACTTACTTTCCATCGATAAACTCTCTTCAGTGAAATGTCTGTTCGTGTGCCTCCAAATTCCTGTCCTGAAACCTTAGAATCTGACTTTTTTTGGAAACACGGTCTTGCAGATATAACAGAGTTAAGATGAGGTCATACTGGATTAACATGGGCCCTAATGCAATGACTGTTGTCCTCAGAAGAAGAAGGAAATCTGGACAAGGAGACAGACAGAAAACATTGACACAGACAGAGGAAAAGCCATGTGAGGACAGACGCAGAGGTAGGAATGATGTGTTTATAGCTCATGATGCCAAGGACAGCTGACAAGCACCAGAAGCTAGGAGAAAAGCACGAAATGGATTCTTCCTCCGAGCTCCCAGTAGGAACCAACCTGCTGACACCTAGATTTCAGACTTGTTCAAGGCTATTCCTAACTTGCTGTGAGTTTCTGTCACGAATTGACACTGGATTTTGCCAACTGCATTTTCTGTCAATTGCTAGGGGCATATATTTTTCTTCTTTAGCCTGTTTATAGAGTTGATCATGTTGATTGATTTTTGAATGTTCAATCTATCTTAAAAATTTTTATCCTACTGGGTTAAATCCATTAAGATCCATCTGAATTTCTTTTGTCCATCTTTTTCAGGTCAAGATTGAGTCATTGGGCTACAATGCTAGCCCTTTACATTTTCCCCTTAACTTCTAGCTTTCTATATTGATTACACAAATTCATAAGTGAATGGGATCACATAAATTCAATGTATTATTGACTATATTTGCAAATGCAAATTTGTTGAAATTTTCTTACATCCATGTGTTGCAAGCAGGGAGATAAATGTAGGGATTAACTTTTGCATTTCTCAAGTATACAAGTTAAAATTTCCAGAGGAACTTCTTAGAAATAGAGCCTCTGTTTTCCAAGCTAGTGAAGGACAGAATGGAAAAAGAATAGAAAACCTAATGAACACAAAAGTTGAGGAAGTGTGAAACTATAAAATTGGTATAAATAGAAACACAAAATCAGGTAGTAGGCATTAATTTTAAATATTAGTAGTTACATTAAAAGCAAATGGATTAAACTCCTTAGTTAAAAGGTAGACATTATCAAACTGGATGAAGGAAATCTAACTATTGATTATTTATCAGAGACTCGCCTAACATAGAATGATACAGGAGAGTAAAAAGTCAAAAGATTTAAGGAGAGTGGGTAAATAATCAAAAAGCAATGTAGTTATATTAAATATATAATAGGAGTATAAGTGTACACACAAATAGACTAACTGAAAAGCATTATTAGAAAGAAGGAGCAAACCACTACAATAAGTTTTAATGCTCTTGGAAGTATTCAATGTGCATGCGCTTAATTACATAGCCTCAAATATATTTAAAAGAACACAGAAATACCAGAAGATATTAGAAAAAAAGATGGACAGATCCAGCCTGCTTTGGAAAAGAACCACGCTCTGCTCATTTTATATAGATAAATTGGCTGTAAAGCCAGACGAGGACAGGTTGAGAATGGAACATTATTAAGCCTATCATTCCTATGAGAATAAAAGGAAAACATGTGAAAGAAGATATTACAAAACAAATGTAGGAATGCAGAGATAATATTTACTATACTTCTAGACCAAGTGGAGTTACTCAAATATTTCAGGCTTAATCTGTTAACATGATTCATGATACTCATTCCTCCTACTTTGTGGGTTTATATTTGGCTGTTTAGTTGTCCCAAGACCAGTTGTTGAAAAGACTATTCTTTCACCATTGGATTGTCCTGGCACCCTTGCTGAAAAGGAGTTGACCATAAGTGTGTGGGGTTACTTCTGCGTTCTCAGTTCTGTTCTATTGATCTATACATCTATACATTTCCAGAGAGATCCTGGAGGTGGAGGAATGGGAACTGGGAAAGGCACAGTGGAGACGTCTAAGGTTCTAGCAATGTTTCCTAAGGTTCTAGCAATATCCTAAGGTGGATAGCATATACCCTGAAGTTCACTTTATTTCTTCCTGATTTTAATGATCACTTATGTTACATTATATGTCTTTTAAGTAAGCAATAAATAAGTTTTTTTTTTAAAAGCAAAAGTTAAGATATAAGGCAAAGCAGATAATTGATTATCTCCTTTAAGGATAAGCCACAGCAAATGTCTGCACCGTGCACCTTTCTGGAGAGGGGCTATAACAATCAAGATTTGCCTCTGCACCTCAGGGTTCCATCATCCTAAACAAGTCATTCTTTCCCACTTCTGAGTCCACCATCTCCAGCTCTTGTTGCTTTGGGGTGGGAATATGTGCGCAGAGCCACTAATGGTTGTTCCATTTGCTTCTTTAGAGACCTGGTCCTTGCCATTTAGTGAACGTTTCACTTGGTTCTAGGCGCATGAATTTGGTGTGCCCTAGACATCTTTCCTCCCCACCCCCAAGTTTCTAGCACAGATACAGGTGCTTCCTATTTTTCAAATGTTTGTTTAGTCTTTTCAAATGTAGTTTAATACCTGGATTCAAGCCACCATGTCTACTTAGAAATCTTATTGCTATGGTTTGAATGGACAGGAAGACTTTCTAAGACTCTTGTTTAGAGATTGGTGCTATAGCTCTGGAACTGTCAACCCAAATGATGCTGCTGCCGACTCACCCTTCATTACAGGCGTAATTAACAGTTGATCCAAACCGGGCATCTCCGTTTACAGTCATTTTGCCATTGGCGGGTTCTGGAGGAGTTCCACATGATCTCCCTATGGGGGAGAAGCAGAATTGGGGGATTGGGTATAGAACAAGCCGAACTTCTCTCAGTAAGCACATAAGGTCCCAACCTGGATGGAGTTTACTGAAAAGTATTTGTGGTTCCGCAGATTTTGCCATCTCAGAGAAACTAACACGACTGCCTGAGAGTCAGCCACCTACTAAGCTCCACTTCCAAAAACAGACCTCCCCTCCTCATTGATCTTTTCCCTGTGTTGTGCACCCCAGAAAAATGCAAACTTTACTTTTTACCAAAGTGGTTATTTTGTCATCCAACCAGCTTAAATCAGAGATCTCGAAATCGGGGTTCTCTCCCCACCTACTTTTTTCTTCCCTTTTCTGAGTCATTGGTGATGTAGTTTCAATGGTGACAATGGGAAACTCCTACTGAATGGAGCTTTTTCCTGCATTGTGTCTTGTGAAGGTCATTTCTCATGAAGTGACCTTGTAATGGAGGTGCCAGCAAGTCAGAGCAGTAAGAAGGTGTGACAGAAAGTATAATTGTCACATGTACTCTACTCGAGGCAAACATAATAATCGTACGTGTCTTAGTTCCAAAATCTGAACAATTGATTCAGCTCTACGGATGTCTGATTGACACAGAGTTCTCAGTCCAGAGGTACTTACGCTGACACTTGTTTTTGGCACTTGACCAGACCGAGTTGGGTAGGCAGGTGATAAAGAACCCTCTCCCATAGTAACCAGGGCGGCACTCATACTTCAGAAATGTCCCGATGGGAAACTCATACTCGTCCGTAGCATTTGCCAGCTTGGCAAATGGAAGGTGTTCCGGGGCTTTGCACCGACCTGGAGAGCAAGACCATAGTGACATCCAAGTTAATGGAGAAACTTCTATTTACTTCCTCTTTTTCTCCAGTGTGCTTCATAGATGCGATCAATGAAACAGAACACCTTAATAATGTTGAAATGTTTGCATCTCTTACTAGTGAACATAGAGATGAG